AGCCTTGCTTTATATTTGGAAATGGTGCCATCAGAATTTCGTTTGATTTTGTAGATCCATTTACTACCAACCACATTTTTATGCAAATGAGGTGGAACTAAAACCCATGTGCCTTACATATCTAAAGCTGCAATCTCCTCTTGCATGGCTTTCGTCCATTCTGAGGAGTAAGAGGCAATCTTATAACTTGCAGGTTCATCTAGTTCAGAAGGAGGCAGAAAAGTCAAACTAAAACAATGATAATCTGAGAAATCCTTGTGTTTGCTAATTTCAAACTTCGCTCGAGTTTGCATAGGATGATCATTAGCATGAGTTAAAGTAGTAGAGCTGGAGGAACTATCTGAGTCGAGAACAACCTCAGAACAACTACATGATGGTATATAAGGGAGTAAAGTTTCCAACTGAGCTTCACATAAAACTGGCAAAGTAGGAACTGCATGTGTAGAAGTTTTAGAGGCAAAAGAAGAAGAAAACTCCATTGTAGATGGTGAAACGGAAGATACAATATGTGGTGGAGGATATGTATGTAGGTGGGGAAAACTACACTTGAAGGAACACTGATAGACATACAGGAAATTGAAGAAGTGTCCTGAGGGGGAGACACCTTATGACCTTTAAAATGATATAAACTTTCATCATGGATAACATTCCTAGAAATAAGAATATTGTGATTTTCCATATTATAACACAAGACACCCTTATAGCCCAACACATAACCTAAGAACACACATAAGGAAGAGCGAGGCTGAAGCTTATGCTTAGTGAAATACATGGATACACAACCGAACCAAATATTTTGAGATGCTCAATTTTTGGAAGTTTATGAAACAATCTAAAATGCGTAGATTCATTTGCCAATATTCTACTAGGCATTTTGTTAATAAGATAGGTAGAATGTGCCATAGCATGAAAATAAAAAATCTCAGGCAAAGAAGCTGCAGTTAACAGGGTTACAGATGTCTCAATCAAATGTTCTTCTTTTTTTTCTCTCTCAGTAAGGCCATTCTGCTGAGGAAAATAAGGACATGATATTTGATGTTCAATACCATTATTCAATAAGAAATCTATAAACTGCTTGCTCATAAGCTCTCATCCCCATCAGTTTGAAGACACTTAATAGATGCAGAAAATTGATTCTTGAGAAATGCAAAAAACTGAAGAAACTTTGAGAAGATCTCATATTTATTGAACAATGGAAATATCCAAGAGTATCCAGTAAACTCATCAATATCCATCATACGATTTACACGGAGAGGGTCCCCAAAAATCACTATAGATTCTTTGAAATTGCACTAAAGATTTAACATGAGTAAATGGAAAGGGTAAGGTGTGCATTTTACCACTTAGACAGTAAGGGCAAATACGCTGATGAGCATCTACAGGAACTAGTAATTGAGAGGTTTTAAGCATAGTATGAACTACCTCATTAGTAGGAAGCCCTAACCTACTATGCCACACAGATGATTTGATTTGCTGGCCCACATACGCAGTACTAGAGAAAAGGAACCATCAACTAGAGTAGAAGAATTGACTGGAGGAACAGCACCAGGTATGGGATATATGCCTTTATTGCTCCTGCCCCTAAGAAGAACTTAGTTTGTTGCTTTGTTTTGTATACAGAAACCAAATTGATCAAAAAGGACAGAACAATTATTATCCTGACAAAGCTGATGAACTGACAGAAGCTTAGTAGTAAGCTGGGGAACATGGAAAACATTATGTAAATGTAGTTTAGAAGTGCTACTAGAGAGATTGGTATGGCCAATGTGAGCAATTTGTAAACTTGCCCCGTTGCCAATAGTAACTTGATCTGCATAAGTACATGGAGTTACATAATCCAATTGATCCACAGTGGGCATCATGTGATGACTGGCACCACTATCCGTTATCCAGAATGTCTCATGAGAAAATGAGGTCTGAGCTGTCATTGCAGTGAGAGACTCAAGAGGAGAGGAACCTTGATACACGTAGTTTAAGCGATGAAAGCAATCCAAAGCACCATGACCACGTTTCCCACATATTTGACACTCAATAACAGATGATGAGGCTAAGTGCTGGGGAGAAATATTCTTATGGTAGCAGTTGACAGCAATGTGTCCACGTTTATTACAAATTTGGCATTCTGGCACAGCACTAGTATTCGGAAAACTACCCTAAGACAGTCTGTAGCCTTGAAAACCGCCACCAACATGAGAAGGTCGGTAGCCTTGAAAACCTCCACAAGGAGGAAAAAATTGATTACCAGAAAACCGTCCTTTACTGAAAGAAGTAGACATAAAACCAGAGGGCCGAGCATTGGCATGAAAACCAGAATGAGATACAAGAACAGTCGAGGAAGTGCAAATAATACCAGCGCTTGTATTGAGAGAGCCAGAAGAAGTATGACCAATCATGGCCACCTTAGGAGTATGAAGAGCTGAAATGCGTGATTTGGCAGATTGTTCAGCGGTTAAAAGCTGAGTACGAAACTCTTTGAACGAAATGGAAGTATCTAGAGCGATGAGAACTGTCTCGATCATATCATACTCGGAAGGTAATCCATTGAGGGCTACGATCATGAGATCATCATTCAAAATCGAAATACCAGCAACGGACAACTGATCATTGATATGTTTGAGACACAAAATAAATTTGTTGATGGAATCACCACCTTTTTGAGCCGTCTGCAACTCAATCTTGAGATGACTAATCCAAGCATGAGACATCATGGCATAGCAATTGGAGAGGCTCAACCAAGCATCACGAGTCGTTTTACTACCGCTAACATAATCAATTGCGTCGTCCGAGAGTGTTGCAATCACAAAGCTCATTAACGCTTTATCAGTCTGAAGCCACTCCTTATACCCCGCAGTAACCTCTAAGGTGACTCATTCTTCATCCAAAATAGCAAATTTTTGGGGAGCAATGGTAGATCCATTGAAGTGGCCAAAAAGACCATAACCTTCCAAGACAAATTCAATCTAATACCGCCATTTTAAAAAATTATTATCTCTTAGGCACAGAGTAACCATTCCTAGCAATCCTTCAAATTTGAGAGATGAAGCCGTCATTGATGCAGAAAAAGAGGAATTTGTCGAACAATCACAAAAGAAAGATGAGAGTTCTGGAATCGAAGAAGAAGACGTGAAATGATGAAGGAAATTGAGCGTGAAATCGACGAAATTGATTCGACGAACAAGAATTGAGAAGGAAATTGACAAAATTAATCAAAGAAGAAGACGTGAAATTGAAGAAGAGGAAGGAAAGAGAATAGGAAATCAGAGCTGAACACAGAGGAAGCATATCAGGATCAGAGGGTACGAGCTACGCAGGGCTCTGATACCATGAAGAAAGTTGAGGTTCCACCCCAAAATCAATTAGCAATGGGGGGAGTAGCACAATTCCTTATAAGCCCTTACAAGGTTTCTCAACTGTCAAATGTATGACATTTCACCTTCACATTCTCACACGCCCCCGCATGTGTGGCGAATTTTAAGCCAAACACGTGGACAACATATGTTGGGTGACGTGGAGCACGTGTGGCCGTTGGGCTTTCACATGTGGGCTAACTTGGCTCTGATACTATGCTAACGAATGAGGAAGAATTGAGAAGAAGAAGAAGAATCGAGAAATCAAAGAGAGAAAATGAGAATATTATCTAAAAGTTTGTTTGTAATTCCTATATCATCCCAATTTCCTATAACTTTAAATTGAAAACCTCTAGCATCGTCATGAGACTACCAAATAAATAATCAAAGTCAAATAAGAATCTTACAAGTATTTGTTAAAAACATAAAGAAAAAAGAAAGCACATTATTTAAAAAAGACTTATTTATGTACATGCCCTCTGTGCTTTCAAACTTGTCTTATATTACCACCTGTGTTTGGAAACGTTTCAAAATACTCCCCCCAACCTTTTAAAAAGGGTCTCACGTTAGCCGTTCCATCAGTTTTATAGACGTTCCATTACGTGCATTGGGCCACACTTCATTTTAATTTTTAACCTCTTCGAATAAAGGTTTTTCAGTTCTAAGAAAGGGGGAAATTGGGTGAGAAGGGGAAATTGGAGAAGAGGGCTTAGGGTTTGTGAAAGTCTGAGGTTGGCTTCGATTTTGGGAGAATCTGGAGAAGAAATTAGGGGTTTATAAAACTTTGAGGTGGAGTTTGAAATTGGGAGATTGTGGAGTATAAGATTTGGGTTTATGGAAACATGAGAGAAGCAAGGAGAAGCAAGGCATGCCTAATGGTGTCATTGTGGGAAGTTAGCACGGATGCAGACTTCTTGGACCAATTCAAACCCAGGGCAGAGATTTCTAATCTGCCCAAAGTCAAAGGTAAGCATGTTTAATATCAAATTTTCAGTCATTGTTTTGGGCATCACAAATTGATAGAGTTCTTATTCATGAAATTGTCAGTGATTGATGAAATTTTCAGTCATTGATAAAATTGAGGAAATTTTCAGTCATTGTTCTTGGTTGATACAAGGAAGTGGAGAAAAATGATGTAGGTTTTTTCAGTGGTTTGATGCAGAAATGTGTGAGCGTTCAAAGTCCTTGATACCTGGTTTGCTGAGGAAAATTGATAGGGTGGATAAGGAAAATGCAAACATTCTAGCAAAGTCAAAAATATTGTGGGCTGCTATGTTGCTTTCCTGGTTGGTGGTGTTTGCCATGAAGATGAATTAGGCACTTTGGCAGTAGTTCAATGAGCAGTGTAATTTGAGAACAAATGCTAATGTAATGTAAGGCACTTTGGCAATAGTTCAGTGGGCAATTTAATTTGAGAACAAATGCTAATGTAATCTAAGACACTTTGGCAGTAGTTAAGTTGGTGTAATATAATGTAATTTGCTGAAATGTAATGATTAGCTAATGTAATGTAAGGTAATGTTCAATAGTTAAGTTTGTTCATTGTAATTTGTTTACAGTTCAGACCATAACTTTGATCTATGATATGAATGGTAACTTATTTAGAGGTTACAAATGGTGACATACTGAATGGTCAATTATCCATAACAGACATCAATAATCCTACAAACCAAATATAAGAACAAACTAAAACAGGTTCCAACCATAACAAACATCAAATATATGCACAAACGAAAATAGGTTCAAACCATAACAGACATCAAATATAAGCATAAACCAAAACAAGTTCCAACCATAACATACATCAATTATACAGGTTCCAACCAAAATAGGTTCCAACCATAACAGACATCAATAATCCCACAAACCAACAACCATTTCTGGACCATTAAAGTCTTCCACAACATTCAAGGATGAAAAAAATGATCTTTGACAAAATGGCTCCTCTAACCAAACAAAAATATTTACATAGAATCAACTCAAGCTATTAAATTTTTACCGAGCATCAACACCCATCAACAAACAAGGAATTCACTATAGAAAATAGGTATGAAACTAATTAACTTTGTTGCCCGCATTATGCTCTTTAAAATCCAGAATTTAAGTGTTTCCAAGAATTGTGTAGATTCCTCTAGTTTAGGATGTGTTCAAAGTCTAATGCCAAACCTTTAAATTCCATATAGATTACTGACTATGAAAGTTATGGGCTCAATATTATCTTTCTATAGAAAGTATGACTACTTTTGTTCCACCTCTTTCTCTTATAAGTGGTTTGACAATGATGTCCCCATCAGAAACTATGGAGCAAAGGGCTGCCTTTATTACTCTTCCATACAAAAATCAAAATCCAAAGATCCCATGCATTGGCTTCTCCAAAACTCTATCTCTCTCTCACATATTAAATTGCCAAAAAGATGTGCTCTTTGATATTCTTGTGCTATAACTTTTGGGCAGTTTTTTTTTCTCGATGTTCTTAGATGGAAAATGTTCTCCCTAATAACCAAAGTCATCAAGTCAGAAACCAAATCAAATATATTCAAATGTAAAGCAATAATTCTAAAAACCACATACCTTACAACTACTTCGATTATGCCCTTCTCCACCGCAATTGGCACACTTTAAAGGGATGCCATACCTAGGAAGCTTATATGGATTAGAAGGAAGTTTAGGTTCTTCAACAGCTTGTTTTCTTGTCTTCTTAGGCCTACCAGGCTGCTTGTGGTATTTCGGAGGGAGTAATGGAGGTAAATTAACCTTCATCCACTGATCTTGGCTAGTCATAGGCATAATCATTGGTTGATAGGCTCTCAAATAAGCCTCTTTCTTGTACACTGCATCACAAAAGTCCTCTGGATTCCCATGAAACCAACTTATTGCAGCACATGCATGCAAACATGGTATTCCATTCAAATCCCAAGCATGGCATGAACAAGAGTGGCCATTCAAATCAACAGCAAAGGTGCGGCCACTATGGTGCATTACTTCAAACTGATTCTGTCCAGCAGCCTTAGGAATGCACCACTGAGCTTTTGCTTTGTTTTTCTCTAATATCTTTCTAATTCTTGGCCCAACTTGTCCATGCCATTTCTCACAGAGA